TCTTTCACTTCTTTCGTAAAAGTAATTCCTAAATATTTCATTTTTTTGCTTGCTAATGTGAATAGTCCAGTTTCTCTTATTTCCCTCTCTGTAATTTTGTTGTTCATGTATAGGAATGCTATTGATTTCTGAGTATTGATTTTGTATCCAGCCACATTACTGAATTTATTTATTGTATCTAAGAGTATTTCAATGGAGTTTAGGGGGTCTTCTATGTAGAGTATCATGTCATCTGCAAACAATGATAATTTAACTTCTTCTTTTCCTATCTTTACCCCTTTTATTTCTCTTTCTTGCCTAATTGCTCTGGCTAGTACTTCCAGTACTATATTAAATAGGAGTGGTGATAAAGGACATCCTTGTCTTGTACCCGATTTTAAAGTAAAGGCTTTCAATTTTTGGCCATTTAGTATGATGCTGGCTATTGGTTTGTCATAAATGGCCTTTATTATATTGAGGTAAAGACCATTTATTCCAATTTTCTGTAAAGTTCTTATCATGAATAAGTGTTGGACCTTATCGAAGGCTTTTTCTGCATCTATAGAGATGATCATGTGATTCTTATTTTTGGCTTTATTGATATGGTGGATTACATTTATTGATTTGCGTATGTTGAACCATCCTTGCATTCCTGGGATGAATCCCACCTGGTCATGGTGTATAATCTTCTTGATGATTTGCTGGATCCTATTTGCCAATATTTTATTGAGGATTTTTGCATCTGTGTTCATTAGGGAGATCGGTCTATAGTTCTCTTTTATAGTTGGGTCTTTCTCAGGTTTTGGTACTAGAGTAATATTTGCTTCCAGGAATGACTTAGGAAGGATTGCTTCCCTTTCAATTTCATTGAATAGTTTGAGGAGTGTCGGCATTAGGTCTTCTTTATATTTCTTGTAGAATTCTGCAGTGAATCCATCTGGGCCTGGGCTCTTCTTGGTGGGCAAGGACCCAATTACCTTCTCAATTTCATTAGCAGAGATTGGGTTATTCAACAGTTTTATATCCTCTTGATCTAGCTTTGGTACTTCATATGCTTCTAAGAATCTGTCTATTTCTTCTGTGTTATCAAACTTTTGAGAGTAGAGGTTTTCGAAATAGGTGTTGATGATCCTCTGTATTTCTATTGGGTCTGTAGTGATTTCTCCTTTTTCATTTCTTATTGCATGAATTTGAGCTTTTTCTTTCCTTTTTTTAATAAGGTTGGCTAGGGGCTTATCGATTTTATTTATTCTTTCAAAGAACCAACTCTTTGATTCGTTGATTCTTTGGATTGTTTTCTTAGTCTCTATTGCATTGATTTCTGCTCTGATTCTTATAATTTCCTCTCTTCTTTTGGCTTTGGGCTTGACTTGCTCTTCTTTTTCTAGCTGTTTGAGGTGTAGCATCAAGTTATTTACTTGTATTCGTTCTGTTTTCCTGATGTGGGAACTCAGTGCAATAAATTTTCCTCTCAGAACGGCTTTCATTGCATCCCACAGATTCCGGTAAGTTGTATCTGCATTTTCATTTTCTTTTAGGTATTGTTTAATTTCTTCTTTAATTTCTTCTGTGACCCACTGATTACTCAAGAGTGTGTTATTTAGTTTCCATGTGTTTGCGGAATTTTTGCAGTATCCTTTGTCATTAATTTCTAATTTCAGAGCGCTATGGTCCGATAATATGCAAGGGATGATTTCAACTCTTTTGCATTTGCTTAAATATGTTCTGTGAGCTAATATATGGTCTATTTTAGAAAATGATCCATGTACTGCTGAGAAGAATGTGTATTCTGATGTTGTTGGGTGGAACATTCTGTATATGTCTATCAAACCCATTTGTTCACAGGTGTGATTCAGTTCTGTTATTTCTTTGCTCATTTTCTGTCTGGTTGATCTGTCCCTTGGTGTCAGTGGTGTATTAAGGTCTCCTGTTACAATTGTGTTACTGATAATTTGAGTTTTCATTTCTGTTAATAATTGTTTTATGTAACTGGGTGCTCTGGAGTTTGGTGCGTATATATCTAAGATAGTTATCTCTTCCTCTTGGAGTTTTCCCCTTACGAGTATGTAGTGACCTTCTTTGTCCTTTATGGTCATTGTTGGTTTAAAGTTCACGTTGTCTGCAAACAGAATGGCTACTCCTGCCTTTTTTTGGATTCCTGCTGCATGAAGAATTGTTTTCCATCGTTTGACTTTCAGTCTGTGAGTATCTTTCTGGGTTAGATGGGTTTCCTGTAAACAGCATATGGTTGGATTTTGTTTCTTGATCCATTCTGCTAGTCTGTTTCTTTTGATTGGTGCATTGAGACCATTTACATTAATGGTTATTACTGTTAAATGCTGGTTAATTGTAGGAATGTTATCTCTCTGCTGTTGCATCTTTATCTTTCGGTTCTGTTTAATTATTTGCTTTGCTTAGTGGTTTTTTCCTTTGTGTATCTAAACTGTCTTTCAATATTTTTTGCAGGGTTGGTTTGGTGTTCATGAAGTTCTTCAGCTGTTCTTTGTCATGGAAGTATCGTATTGCACCATCTATTTTGAATGATAGTTTTTCAGGATATATCAGTCTTGGTTGGAAATCATTTTGCTTTAGGATCTGGAATACTTCACTCCATGCTCTTCTTGACTTTATCGTTTGTGTTGAGAAGTCTGCTGTGATTCTGATAGGTTTTCCTTTATAAGTGATTTGTCTTTTCTCTCTGACAGCTTTTAATAATCTATTCTTGTGTTGGATTTCTGGGATGGTGACTATTATATGTCTGGGTGTAGTTGTATTTTGGTTATGACTGTTTGGAGTTCTATATGCTTCACTGATCCTGATGTCAGTTTCTGATCTCATGCTTGGGAAATTTTCAGCTATTACTTCTCTAAATATCCTCCTGACATCCTTCATGTTGTCTCCCTCTCTTTCATTAATCCCTATCATTCTTATGTTATTCTTCTTTGCATCGTCTTGCAGTTGTTGAATTGTTGTTTCCTGGTTCCTTGTTATTTTCAAAAGATCTTTCCTTTCCTGTTCACTAGCTGCAATCCTGTCTTCAAGGTCTGAAATTCTATCTTCACTTTCATTAAGGCGGTTTTTACAACTTTCAGTGGAGTTTTTTATTTCCTGTATATCTCTGTGCATCTGCATTATGTATTCTGTTTGTTTCTTATATTGCTTGTCTAGGGATTCTATCTTTTTGTTTAGTTCCTCCAATTTTTTATCTGTGTTTTCTTTAGATATATTTAGAATCTCTTTCATTTCTTTTATCATTTCTTCTTTTATCTGGGAGATTATTTCGAGTTTGAATTTCTTTAAAGCTTCCTGGAGTTGCTTGTCAATTTCAGTGGCTATTGTGTCCGATATATGAGGTGGATGGGATATATTTTCTTCTATATACATCGCTCCTAGGGTTTCTTGAGATGGGCTGGAGGTTTGAGGTTGTAATTTGGTCTTTCGTTTTGTCATTTTCCTATATTTCTGTGTTTCAAGTGTTACTTGAAAGCTTCCTCAGGATCTGTTGAAAATCCCCTTCTATGTTTGGAGCTACTGGGACTCTGGCGCCGTGCTACTCCAAGCCATTAGGCCTACAGAACTAGTGGCCCTCCTCTGCCTGCTCAGAACTCCGCAGTTCCAGACAAGCTGGGCCTCAGGGACACTGTGCGCCCACCTGCCCCTTGGAAGCTCCACAGTTCTTCAATCGCAGCCGGGTTAGGGTACTCACCACAGGCCGCAGTGCTTCAGGAACCTGTGGACCCTCCCTGGTTGCAGAGATATCCACAGTCCTCCAGACACACAGAGAGGCCAGTGAGGGCACCCCAGATCTGCCCAGCTCCTCCTCTGCAGACCTGTGGCCAGGCGCGGCAGCTAAACAGGCTGGGCTAGGCTGGTAGTGTGGGCCAGCCCACCTATTGGGAGCTCAGCAGGTCTCCAAATGAAGCCGGGAATGGGGAGGCTGATGTGGAAGCCTCAAACCCACCTCTCGCCTTCACTGCACCTGGAAGCCTGAGGGAACTCCAGCAGTCTGGGCGCAGAAATCCAGAGTCCTCCAGACACGCAGAGAGGCCAGTGAGGGCACCCCAGATCTTCCCAGCTCCTCCTCTGCAGACCTGTGGCCAGGCGCGGCAGCTAAACAGGCTGGGCTAGGCTGGTAGTGTGGGCCAGCCCACCTATTGGGAGCTCAGCAGGTCTCCAAATGAAGCCGGGAATGGGGAGGCTGATGTGGAAGCCTTAAACCCACCTCTCTCCTTCACTGCACCTGGAAGCCTGAGGGAACTCCAGCAGTCTGGGCGCAGAAATCCAGAGTCCTCCAGCCGCGCAGAGAGGCCAGTGAGGGCACCCCAGATCTTCCCAGCTCCTCCTCTGCAGACCTGTGGCCAGGCGCGGCAGCTAAACAGGCTGGGCTAGGCTGGTAGTGTGGGCCAGCCCACCTATTGGGAGCTCAGCAGGTCTCCAAATGAAGCCGGGAATGGGGAGGCTGATGTGGAAGCCTTAAACCCACCTCTCTCCTTCACTGCACCTGGAAGCCTGAGGGAACTCCAGCAGTCTGGGCGCAGAAATCCAGAGTCCTCCAGCCGCGCAGAGAGGCCAGTGAGGGCACCCCAGATCTTCCCAGCTCCTCCTCTGCAGACCTGTGGCCAGGCGCGGCAGCTAAACAGGCTGGGCTAGGCTGGTAGTGTGGGCCAGCCCACCTATTGGGAGCTCAGCAGGTCTCCAAATGAAGCCGGGAATGGGGAGGCTGATGTGGAAGCCTTAAACCCACCTCTCTCCTTCACTGCACCTGGAAGCCTGAGGGAACTCCAGCAGTCTGGGCGCAGAAATCCAGCGTCCTCCAGACGCGCAGAGAGGCCAGTGAGGGCACCCCCGATCTCCAGTACGAATTTCTTTGAACAGTGTCCTGGGTTAGAAAGGTACATACTTGACTGTTTCTACAACTGTTCTCTGGAGTAAATTTATATGACCATACTATTATGGAAGGAATAAAGTGGCTCTGTGTTTTTGGAAAAACCCCTGGTTCCTGTGAATTTTTCTTGTTACAGGTACACCTATGGGAAACCTGTCCTAGGACATGTGAAGTTGAATATATGCCATCTTTTCAAGTCTTATTTTGGATCTGAGTATGGTCATAACTATGGTGGTCAAGACCCATGTGAGGAAATCAGTCAACAGGTGAGTGAAAACTTTTCAGAGGTTTATAATATCCAAAAGAAACCATAAAGTGTGAATAAAGAAAGAACATCTGCAAGGGGAAGCATGAGATATCAAAAGAGGGTATTTAAGGGCTAGGACCACTGTTCAGTGATAGAATATTTTTCTAGTAGATGCAAGGTTTTGGGTTTGATTTTCAGCATTGTCAAAAAAGAAAACAGAGAAGACTTATGGTAGTCTCATAATCTACTATTACTGAAGGGAGATTTCCAGAGATTTAGAACTAAACTTGTCTATTATATATTAGTCAAAAGTGTGAAATAACATTGTTAATCATAGTTTATTTTATTGGTGCCTTGACTGAATTTAGGGCCTCCAATATGCTGGGCAAGCACTTTATCAGTTTCTAGCCCATGGTGGTTGTTTTAAATAATAGCAAATATCTATTATGTTCTTAATACATATAGTCAATATTCTAATATATTATATATGTTAATATATTTAATCTCCATAAATCGTTATGCAAATATTTTTTTGAAACAGGGTCTTACTATGTATTACAGGCTGGCCTCAAACTAATGGCAATTCTTCTGCCTCAGTATCCTGAGTGCTGCTTGGATTATAGGCATGTGCTGCCATGCCCAGCTTCCCTATGTAGATGAGAAACAGGCATGAGAATATTACTTATAATGTGTTCAACACCATGTTACCTGGCAGCTAAATTTTAGAGCTGACCTCAATGATCACAACCAGAATACTAGGTTGTACAGTTCTAAGCAGTTGGTCATCTCCAAAGGAAGCCTCACATCTAGGTTTGAATTGACCATTTGTCTGATCAGTATGTCATGCTGTTTGGTTGTGTATTTCTCACTTACCAGCTGAACAGCCAAGGCTGCATCACACAAGCAGTGAGAACTTCTAGGGACTTTATGAACTGGAACATGAGTCACATTTTTAATCTTCAAGTGAATGCTAAAATTACAGAAGAGGGGACAGGTATGTGGGGAAGATAAAATTATGGAAAAAGCCCTGTGAACATTGATAACTTTATCTCATCAAGAGCGTAAGGTGGATTATGTGGAAAAACAATTTGAAAACTAGTGATTCATCTCCACTCTATACCAACCTCTTTCTCAGGGCTGGAATTCACTGGAACTGGGACAACTGAAGTTAGGAAACCCAGAACCAATCTTGTACGTGTGAGTACAGATTCACACTTCAGACCAGGGATTCCATTTGTTGTTCAGGTAAAGTACTCCATGATTCACAGGTATTTAATTTGTTCTGTAACATCAAAACAGCTTAGACTTTTCTGCTCAAGATGTTACCCGGTCAAAATTATTGTTTGCAAGGGGAGAGTGTCGCTCATTGGTAGAGGAAATGCTTAGCATATAGCAGGATCTGACTTCACATCCCAGCATCAATAAATAAAAATTAAAAAAAATTTATTGCTTCTTAACCAAATCTTATAATCATACATAGAAGATCTTTTTATTTAAAATATTACTTATTACAAAACAAAAAATCTCAAAGCATTAATACATTTTCATTTGTCAGATAACAGGCAGAAAATAAAGACCAAGTATTCTAATTCCTAATTCCAATAAAATTTAATAAACCAATTTTCTGTAGGGTTTTTATCATAAGTGGGTGTTGGAATTTGTCATGCTTTTTCTGCATCTGTTGAGATGATCATATGATTTCTGTCTTTGGTTCTATTAATATAGTGTATGACATTTATTGATTCATGTATGTTGAACCATTCCTGCATTCCTGGAATGAATCCTCCTGGGTCATAGTGTATAATCTTCTTGATCACTTGCTGTATTGTTTGCTACTATCTTTTTGAAGATTTTACTGTGTTCATTAGGGAAATTGGCCTGTAATTTTCTTTTTTAGTTGCATCTTTCTCTGGCTTAGGCATGAAGGTAATACTTGATTCCAGGAATGATTTTCAAAGTATTACTTCGCTTTCATTTTCATTAAAGAGTTTCAGCATTAGTGACATTAGATCTTCTCTAAATTTCTTGTAGAAGTCAACAGTTAATACATCTGGGCCTGGGATTTTCTTTTTTTGGCAAACTTTTAGTTACATTTTCAATTTCACTGACCAATACTGGGTTATTAAGAATATGTATATCTTCTTGATTCAGTTTTGGCAATTCATATGTGTTTAGGAATCTTTTATTCTGTGTTTCCCATCTCATTTCCTAGGTTTTTGAAGGATGTAATGAGATTTTTATGGATTTCCTCTAGATCCTTTGTGATTTCACCCTTTTCATTCTTAATTGCCTGAATTTGAATCTTATCTTTCCTCTTTTTGATAAGGTTATCTAGGCACTTATAAATGTTATTTAATTTTTCAAAGAACTAACTTCATTTATTCTTTGTAATGATTTTTAGTTTCAGCTATATTAATTTCTGCTCCAATCTTTATAATTTTCTGTATCATGTGAGCTTTGGTTTTTATTTGTTCTTTCTCATCTAGAAATTTGAAGTTAAATATTAAGTTGTTTGAGCTCTTTCTGTTTTCCTAGTGTGAGAATTCATCACTATATATTTCCCTTATAGGATTGCTTTCATTGTGTCCCATAAATTCTGGTATGTTTTATCAACATTATTATTTAATTTTAGATAATGTTTAATTTCTTTTTTAATTTCCTTTGTGAACTCCTGGTTGTTCAAGAAGGTGTTAATTTCCACGTGTTTATGTAGTTTTGTGGTTTCTTTGGTCCTTGATTTCCAATATCATTGTAGTATTGTCAGATAATATGCACAGAATAATTTCAGTCACCCTGAATTTACTTAAACATGTTCTATGGGCTAATATGTTATCTATTTTGGAGAAAATTCCATGTGCAGCTGAGAAGAATGTGTATTCTGATACTGTGGGGGGTAGAATGCTTTGTAGACATCTACAAAGTCCATTTTTTACATGTTTAATTCTGATATTTCTTTGCTGATTTTTGTCTAGTTGATCTATATAATTGTGAGAGTGGTGTATGAAGGTCACCCATCACAATTGTGTTTAACACTTATTTGGTTTTTCATGACCATTAATATTTGTTTTGTGTAGTTGGGTGCACCAATATTGGTGCATACATATTTACGATTATTATCTCTTCTTAGAGTTTTCTCTTAGCAAGCATATAATGAACTTCTTTGTCTCGCAATCAGTTTTAGCTTGGAGTTCACATTGTTTTTGAAGAGAATATCTAGCTACCCTTGCTTTTTTCTAGGTTTCTGTGGCATAAGGTATTGTTTTCTATTCTTTGACTTTGAGTCTCTAAATTTCTTTTTGAGTTAAATGTGTTTCTTGAATTCAGTCTACTGCCGGATCTTTTTCTTACTCCATACTGCCAATTTGTTTCTTTTGACTGGTGAACTGACCTTACACTGATGGTTGTAATCAATGTGTATTATCTTTCCCACATCATTTTCCTGTGATTGGTCCCTGTCTTTCTCCTGTGTTTAATTGCTTGCATTACCTGGTGACTTCTTTCTATTGGTGTTCTTTGGTATTCATTTTCTCTTTCTAATATATCCTTTAGAGTACTCTGTAGAGATTGCCTAGTTGTACTGAATTTCCTCAGTTGCTCTTTGTCATGAGAGTATTTTACTTTTCCCTTCATTTTGCAAGATAGTTTTGCAGGGTACCTCAATCTAGTTGGAGGTTGATTTCTTTTAAGACTTGAAATACCTCACTCCAAGCTGTCTTTGATTTGTGGTTGGCATTGAAAAGTCTGTGATTCTGATGGCTTTTCCCTTATAAGTGGCTTGTTTCTTTCACCTAACTACTTTTAATATTGTTTTTATGCTTTCTAAGATCTTGATTATTATATGCCTTGGTATAGATTTTGGTTGTGGATGTTTGGGGTTCTATATGCTTTATTTATTTGTATGTAAAGTTATTTATCCATATTTGTGAAGCTTTTGCCATTGTTTCTGTGAAGTTTTTTTTTTAAATTTTATTTAAGGAGAAAAGAAAAGCAGAGAAAGGGTACAAGTTATACAGATTTATAGAAAAAAATAAACAGTAGGAAATCACTAGTTAATGGATTACATATTGTCATCTTAGAAATAATTGTTCAAGTCACAAAATTAAAGCTTGTAAAGTGGACATTCCAACAGTGAGACTGCAAACAGTTCTGTTCAATGATCCAATAAAACTCAGTGATATCATTTTCTATGTTATACACTTAAATATACATGCGGTATATCATTTAGAGCACTTTCTTTTCCTCTCTTTTGTACAATGACAATTACACATTTTGGGTTTTGTTGCTCCCACAGTACTTTTTTAGGGAGGGAGTAGAACCAAACGTGATCTAACAGAACAGAGTCAGTCAAATCAAAAGGGTGAGCATAGTAGATAATGTAAAAGCAAAATACAAGGTGATCAATAATGGTTACCATAATGCCTCCTGCTATCTCTAATAGAATTGCCTATATCATCAGTTATAAAATTGAACAAAACAGTAAAGAACAAAAATGACAAAACCAAAACATTGGAGACATTATAGGTCTTCAAAAGTAGATAAAAGTCAACAAGAATGGGCATCATAATGAATCTCACTATCTTCACAGCTGTTGCCTAAACTTTCGAACCTGGTACTATCAAGAAAAACAGAATAGGGTGACATCAGTCAAAAACAAGATGGTGAGAGTAATACAGGGCTTTAAATCAAGATAATGGAAAGTCAAAGTGGGTTACTATAATATATCCTGCTAGTTTTTATTTATTTTTCTCTTAATTAAAAGGATAAAAATAAAAAAGTAAATAATGAAGTGGAGATTGAGATAAAAGAGGGCATAACAGCAAAACAGCGCAGATAAAAACATAACCAATTTAAGCAGAATAGTGTTTCACCACAAGATAATCCTGACATAAAAGTAGTTATCATATTGTCTCTTTCCTTAAAATCTTTGAGTATAACTTCGTATCCTGTAGCATCAAGTTCATCAAAACAATGTAAAACCATTTAAGAGAATGACAGCATTACAGGGTATTTAGAATCAACTAACAGAAAATGAACAATGGTTTCTGTATAATCTCCTTGTCTTTAAAAGTTTTTGCTTATACTATCGTACATAATAAAATCCAATAAGATACAACCTGTTTAGACCAATGGAGTCAGAACAAAAGCTTGATGAGACTTCAAAACAAGGTGATACTAAATCAGTATTACCTATTAAGACGACATTTTCTCCAAAATATCTGTTCCTATCATCCAATCTTCTCTGCCTCATTTCTGTTGAGCTTTTTTTCTGTCATTAGTTGTCAGTTTGTCTTCTTCATTTTGTTTTCTGCTCCATTCATTGTGGCCTCTCTGCCACTATTTCTGGATTCTTTGTATTTTTCTTTTTTAGAATATCCTGCAGTATTCTCTGTAGAGTTGAATTGGTGGTTGCAAATTCCCCTAGTTCCTCTTTATCCTGGAAGCACCTTGTTTTTCTATCAATTTCCAGGGATAGTTGTGCAGGATATATAAATCTTGGCTGGAGATTATTATCTTTGAAAGCTTGAATTATTTCCCCCCGTGCTCTTCGTGATTTGATGGTTTGTGCAGAGAAATCTGCTGAAATTCTGATGGGTGTTCCCTTGTAAGTGGTCTGTTTCTTGTCTCTGACAGCTTTTAATATTCTGTTCTTGTATTGAATTTCTGGAATTTTAATTATTATATGCCTGGGTGTTGCTCTGTTTAAGTTGTAGGTGGCTGGAGTCCTTTATGCCTCATACATCTGAGTATCTTTACCTTTTGCTAAATTAGGAAAATTCTCCTGGATTATTTCTGTGAGTAGCTTTTGTAGCTCATTTGTTTGTGTCCCTACTTCTTTTATGTTCTTAATTCTTAAGTTATGGATCCTCTTATCATCTTCTTGTCTTTGTATTATTGCTGTTTGTTTCTTTGTTACTTTTAAGAAGTTTTTCATTTCATTCTCCCATATTACAAATCTGCCCTCCAGTTCAGATAGTCTGTCCTTAGTTTCTTTCAAGCTGTTATGCCAGTTTTCGATAGAGTTTTTAGTTTCCTGGTAGACTCTTTGAACCTGCTTCACGTATTCTATGCTTTCTCTATTTTCTCCATCAAACAATTCTCCCCTCTTTTTCTGTTCTTCCATTCCACCATCTGTTTTTTCTTGGGTGGTGCTTAGCATTTATCTAACTATTCTGCTTATTTCTAGCTTCAGGTCATTAATAACTTCATTCCTGAGCTGATCTATGAGGCTCTCTAGATGGTGCTTT